AAAAAAAAAAAAAAGAAGAATCGATCAGGGCTGGTTTCCTTATAGGTCAATAGCAGTGCCACTCCATCAGTGTGACCACCCTGACTGCAGATGTAAACACTGGATATTCAAGTGGCAAATGGATAAACTTTGACTGTTTGTTAAAATACATCATAAGTGTACCTCAAAATTAGTTTCCTAAAGCATTTCCTGTTCCTTCACATATACTCTGCAAGGAACATAAATGTGCCTGGACCTCTCCTAACCTTGGGTTTTAGATTCTCCCCACAGACCACTCTAGTGGGTTTCTAATTCAATTCCCTCCACATCCCTCCTTCAGTGACAGCTCCAAATGGGGCAGTTTAATTAGAGGTAATACTTGACGAAGGGCCAACAAGTACTCTCCGTTAATGAGGCTTACTAATTTCCTTAGTGGTGCCATTACCTCTGCAAGGCTGACTTCTTGCCAGGAAGTGTGTATGCAAAGGGACAAGCCAGGGAAACCTGACCAAACAGATGTCCTGAAGTCCCCAATTACTCCACAGCTGGGTTCCCTGCTCTAGGACTTCACTACTTAGAGCACCTGTGTCCTCTCCTCTGATACCCCTGACTGAAACACTCAGGAGTTGATATTGTTCACCTGCCCTTTCAATCATGTCTTCCTAGATGCCATGACCTGTTAAATAGTTTGGACAAAAGGAACAAGACATGAGCCCTGCCATCAGGAGTGCAGTTTAGTGGAGCAGACAGAAGAGACACAGGTAACTGTGATATGGTATATTAAGTGTTATGATGACCCAAGGAACATAAAGAACACTGAGGAAAAGCATTTAAACTAGCCTGATTCACAAAAGAAGAGGCTTGAGTTTCATGCCAATGCTTCACACCTGTAATCCTAGCTACTCAGGAGGCTAAGATCTAAGGATCACTGCTCAAAGCCAATTATCTCCAGTTAACCAGCAAAAAGCCAAAAGGTAAGCTCTGGCTTAAGTGGAAGAGCACTGGACTTGAGCACAAAAGCTCTGGGACAGCACCCAGGGCCTGAGTTCAAGCCCCAAGACTAATATGTACACACGTATACACACAGAAAGAACAAAAGAATGAAAGAAAGGAAGAAAGAAAGAAGGAAGGAAATGGTCAAAAAGAAAAGGATATGGCTAATGATACTGAGGACGGTCTGAGCCTACAAAACCAGGTCATGAAGGAGGGAGGATATGTAAATGAACAGGAGTGGGGGGGGGGTGTTAGTCGGACAGTAGGAAAATAAAAAACGTAGAACAAGGGTTTCTAGAATACAAGATGACCAACCTCGATTCCAGCTGGTAGATAATGCATAGTTTTGGGCAAAGATCCGCTTGGCCAGAGAAGGGTACTTGAGAATCTGAGATTTACACAGCTGTATCAGGCTGTCCATGATGACTGGACTTGGAGACCAAAAAAAAAGAGAGAGAGAGAGAGACATTTAGAGATTTAAAGCAACAGGTTGACTTTAAATCCACCAGTTAGAAATCCTATTTACTATGAAGGAACTTACCAGTAGGTCATTCTCTTGGGGATGTCCTCAGTGGAGTGCCAGAGACGAGCGTGAGAAATGATGTTCAAAACCCGCTCATCTTGGTTCTCAATGTGGTTCCTTGGATCATCAACAAGACTGAGCACTTTCTCAGGAAGACCTTCAATTAGCTTGGTCTTGGTAAGCCAGAGAGCCTGCTTCACACCTTTGGGACAATCAGCACAAAACAATGAAAAGAGAAGGTAGTTTGGAAAAAGATGCTCAAGCTGCCAGGTAGCACTGCAGGGAACCAATGGGAATAACTTCTGGATCTTCATGAATAACTCAAGGAGCCCTGAGTTTGACCTATTTTTTTTACATCTTATTGAAGTTAATTCTGACAATCTATAATTGGCTACTTTTTTTTTTTTTTTGGCCAATCCTAGGGCTTGAACCCAGGGCCTGAGCACTGTCCCTAAGCTTCTTTAGCTTAAGGCTAGCACTCTACCCCACTTGAGCCATGGCGCTACTTGCAGCTTTTTCTGTTTTTGTGGTACTGAGGAATCGAACACAGGGATTCATGCACAGACAAGTACGCTACCACTAAGCCACACTCCCAGCCCAATTAGCTACTTTTTAACAGACTTATATGAAATAAATCTATGAAACATACTCCTGTATTTGTCTAGTCATACTAAACATGTTCTTTTACTCATGGCACTAAGTGCTGAGACCTTCTGAACCTTTCTCTAATCCCAGAGGGTCAACCAACATTTTCTCAAAGGGTGAAATAGTAAACACTTTCAGTTTCTAGGCAATAATTAACATGTGTATGTGATTATATTCAAATAAAACTTCACTTACAAAAAAGGGGAATTGGCCTAGTTAACTAACCCCAACTCTGTAACCTGTACACTGCCAGCAAGTCCAGAGCCAAATCTACGTCTCCTCTTTAGCAAACAGACTTCCCAGAGTAGACTTTTTTTTTTTTAATTCACCTCATCTTATTTTTACTTTGTGCTGGATTCCTTCACTGATTTTTAATTTAATGTGGTTTCACTAGAACATTTGTGTATATTTTTCGGAGTCAATTTAGAGTGACAAGAGTCCTTAAACATTAAACAGCTCTCACTACTCTCAGGGTGGATGGGCTGCTGCAGTGCCTGGCAAAACCTCACCAGCTTCACTGTCCCACAATCTGGTTTCCCTACAGGAAGAACAGACACAGCCCTAGAAGCTAAATTCTGACTCACATGAACATATTAATCCTCCTTCTCAGATGAAAGTTAGCACTATGTGTTTTTTGTTGTTTGTTTTTAGTGCCAGTTCTGGTCCTTGAGCTCTTTTGCTCAAAGTTAGTACTCTACCACTTGAGCCACAGCTCTACTTCTGGCTTTTTGGTAGTTAATTAGATGAATTATCTTGGATTTTTTTCTACCTGGGCTGGCTTTGAACAATGATCCTCATATCTCAGCCTCTTGAGTAGCTAGGATTACAGATGTGAGCCACCAGCATCCAGCTAGCTGCACTATGTCCTTTGTAGTAATTATACCCACAAGTTGAAAGAAAGTTGTTGGCAGACACCTGCATTCCAGCTGGGAAAACATTACTGTGACTCCAGGACACATCATGTAAAAAGCTTTTAGGTGGTAAATTCCCTAGGACATGCCAAGTGCCACTAGAACACTTTGCAGGGACACCTCAGTCAATATCTCTAGTAGTAATAAACAAGGGCAATGAGATGTTTCACTTTAAAACTGATAAAGACATTACAATGGAAACACACGTTTCAAAACAATATCTGGATAGGGTGATACAACAGAAAGTCCAGAGGGACTGGGTTTCAGGCAAACTTGATTTCGGGCTAAAGAGTGCCACTGTTGCTTAAACTTGAAAATGTACAGAGAGCCGGGCGCTGGTGGCTCATGCCTGTAATCCTAGCTATTCAGGAGCCTGAGATCTGAGAATCGCGGTTCAAAGCCAGCCCATGCAGGAAAGTCTGTGAGACTCTTATCTCCAATAAACCATCAGAAAACTAGAAGTGGTGCTATGGCTCAAGTGGTAAGAATGATCGCCTTGAGCTGAAAAGCTGAGGGACAGCACCCAAGCCTAGAGTTTAAGCCCCAGGACAGACAAAAAAAGAAAAGAAAAAAAGAAAATGGACAGAACTAACATGTTATCATTCACTAGTATATACAAGTAATATGTAATCATTAAAGCTGACATTTGTTGAATGCAAGTATCTATACTGTGCCAGAAGTTTAACCTACAAGTTAGATACCATTTTATGAAATGAAGGAGGAAATGTAAGATTAAGGATTACTGCTTCAGGTCATACTACCTTGTAAGTGACAGAGCCTAGGAGGAGGGCCTCAGTCCGTCCACTCTAAAGTTCATAATCACGCCATGATCCCAACTGGCACTCCTACCAATATATCTTGCAAGTTTTTTTTGGGTCTGGTTGTGGGGCCTGAACTCTGGGCCTGGGCGCTGTCCCTCAGCTCTTCAGCTCAAGGCTAGCGCTCTACCACTTGAGCCACAGCGCCACTTCCGGCTTTTTTTCTTTTTGCTTATATGGTGCTGAGGAATCAAACCCAGGGCCTCAGGCTTGCAAGGTAAGCACTCTACCACTGAGCCACCTTCCTAGCCCCATATCTTGCAAGTTTTATTACACACTTTGCAAGACCTCTCTGTGAGTGACAGAATGTAAGATATAGGATACCTTTTCAGTCTAGCCAAATGAGCATGATCTTAACTTCCAAACCATCATGCTTCTACTTGAGTGTTTCACTATCAGGGTCACTCAAAGATGCCCAGTCATGTAAGAACCTTCCTATGAAAGTTTAATGGCTAGTCAGCTTGCAGAAATAAGATGGCGCAGCTTAAGTGTTTGACCAAATAACTCAAGTTTTTATTTTTGTTTTTCAAATTTAGGATTTATTTTCTGGCTTACTTCCCAAACCCTGCCAGATCTACTTTTCTTTCCTAATCCCACCCTGGAAAACACTGTTCCCACCGACCTCAACCATTTTGCTATTAGAAGCTGTCCTTTTCCAATCTTGATTTGGGTAAGAAAAGAAAGATTAAAGAATGGGGAAAGGAACTCTTTTTTTTTTTTTTTGGTTGGTCATGGGGCTTGAAATAGGCTTGGGTGCTGTCCCTGCACTTGTCAGCTTAAGGCGAGCGCTCTACCCCTTGAGCCACTTGAGCCACAGCACCACTTCCAGTTTTCTAGTGCTTTATTGGAGATAAGAGTCTCACAGACTTCTCTTGCCTGGGCTAGCTTTGAACCGCAATCCTCAGATCTCAGCCTCCTGAGTAGCTAGGATTACAGGTGTGAGCCACAGGCACCCAGCAGGAACTCTCTTTCTTTGGTCAGTTGTTGGGCTTGGACTGGGGGCCTGGGCACTGTCCCTGAGCTCTTTTGCTCAAGCCTAGTGGTCTACCACTCTGAGACACAGTGCCACTCTCTCATCTTGGACTCTGAGAAATAATTCCTGATACTGCTCAAGACAGGAATCCTCTGCCTGGATGCCACTTCCCACAGGGGCCGGCCATTTGTTAAGAAGTTTTCATAAACTGATTCTTGCCTAAGCTTGCCTCAAACCAAGTCGTTTCACTACTCCCTCACATCATTTTTTTTGGGGGGGGGTGTTGGTTATGGGGCCTGAACTCTGGGCCTGGGCACTGTCCCTCAGCTCTTCAGCTCAAGGCTAGCGCTCTACCCTTGAGCCACAGTGCCACTTCCGGCTTTTTCTGCTTGTGTGGTGCTGAGGAATCGAACCCTGGGCCTTATGCATGGGAGGCAAGCACTCTACCACTGAGCCACCTTCGCAGCCCCGCTCACATCATTTTTTTTTATTGTCAGGGTGATGTACAGAAGGGTTACAGGTCTATAAGTAAGGTAGTAAGAACATTTCTTGAAAAACCTGTTACCCCTTCCCTCATTTTTCTCACATCATTTTTTTTAATCTTTTTACATTCCACTCAATCCTATCTCGGAAGATAGAAGATATTCTTACAGCAGATGAAGAAATCAAGAACGATGGTTTCGAGGTCTGCCCAAAGCAGAGGGTCGGAGGCCACGCAGGGCACAGGGACAAGTTCCCTCCCACCGACCCTGGGCCTCACCCTCGAGGAGACGGCAGCGCTGGTGGAAGACGTAGCAAGGCTGATCCTTGTACAGTGGGTGCTCGTGAAAGGGGGGCGGGCGGTGGAACTTGGGGTGCTTCCAGCCGCGGTCCCAGGGCGGGAAGATCGGCCGCGCCAGCCCAGGCATGAAGTGCATCTTCCCCGCGTAAGTGATGGGCTCCAGTCCCGGGATCTCATACACGCGGTCCAGTGGAGGGGGACCGGGTTTCCGCGTGGAACGCACGCCCCACTCGTACGCCCCGCGTCTCGGGGCCCCGCAGCCCCCAAGACCAAGCCCCGCAGAGCCAGCTAGCGCCCGCTTAGCGGGCCCCACCGCCAACGCCATACTGACTCAGCCTCCCCAAGCCCTCCACTAGGAGGCCGCCATCTTCCCTCGCGCAGAGCCTGCCGGGAGCGAAAGGGGCTGGGCGCCAAGGTTCCTTAAGTGAGTGGCAGACCCTTTAACCAATAACACTCAGCATGTCTTTCGCCTGCTCCGCCCTTCAGGATTTTCTCATTTTCTTATTGGTGAGATCTGATAAGCACTCCCCGCCTCCGGGGCGGGGGCAGCCTCACTTAAGGACGTGAGGGGACTGCTGGAGTTTAGGTGAGTGGCGGAGACAGGGACCCGGGAGGGGCCGGTGAGCTCCCAAACCTCGAAGCTGAGCCTCGCTCATCTTTGTCAGCTTAAGCGCCGTAGGAGCTTGGAGGAGCTCTCAGCGTATCTTGCTGTAAACATAGGGATAGAAATACCTTAGCGGGTGTACCTGTGCAGCTCCATGCTCTTAACTCAGGAAAAGTTTTCTTTCCACCCACCTCTTACTACAGCGGAGCTTCCCGGCCGCCCCTCCGCCGGCCTGCGAGTGAGTGCGGCCCTGTCCACACCACCAGTCCCGCACACCACTGCTGCTTCTGCAGATCTCTTCCCCCGGGCCTGCCTGCAGCGACTTTCTTCCTGTTCCTAAGGAATTTCTCTTTTTCTCTTCCTGGAGGCAGGGCCTTAGCGTGGAAGGCTGCTCAAAACACCTTTGCTCAACACCTGCTGTTGCATGCCTGGCTGTGCTGAGCACCAGGTTGGCATTGGTGAGTAAAACATGAGGTGTAGAGCTTACGTTTCAGTAGGAGACACAGACAGAATGCAGGCAGAGTAAACAAATAATAGCAGCACACACATACACTTCCTGTCCCTTCTCCCTAGTTCTTTTTTTCTTTTGTATTTCACATTGTCATACTATGTTTTTCATTTTTATTTTAATGACAGTCTTTCCTATGAGTGCAGGGGTTTCTGTTTCTTTACTGCTGTTTCCCCTGTGTGTTGAAAGTGCATGTATAATGAATATATAATAGAATCAAATAGAATGCAGGAGAGAGAAGATAAAGGGGAGGTTTAGGGAGGGCCCCTAAGGGGAGATGACCTTTTAGCCCAGGCCTGAAGGGTAAAGGAGAGGCATCCAGGCAGAAGCAATCATGTATGTCAAGGAGAGGCATCCAGGCAGAAGCAATCATGTATGTCAAAGCCTGGCTTCTTAGACTGGAAAGATAGACTTGAGAAGAAGGAATGGCATGAAACATGTCTTTAAATTTATGACTGAATGGCCAACTTCTACATTAGTCTCCCAGAGTCACAAGGAATAAGAAACTGATATAAAGAGACCAAACTTTATTCACTATTGATATATACCTGGTACACAGCATGTGGTAGAAATGGATGTAACACCATGCTAGATCTTTTTTTTTTCTTTGTCAGTGGTAGGGCTTGAACTCTGAGCCTGAGCTCTGTCCTTGAGCTCTTCAGCTCAAGGTGAGCGCTCTATCACTTAAGCCATACTGCCACTTCCAGTTTTCCAGTGGTTAATTGGAGATGAGAGTCTCACAGACTTTCCTGCCTGGGCTGGCTTTGGACCATGATCCTCAGATCTCAGACTCCTGAGTAGCTAGGATGACAGGTGTGAGCCACCAGTGCCTGGCCATGCTAGGTCTTTTAAGCTAGGGAACCATGCCTTCCATTGTCTCTCAGCACATACCACTGTGCCTAGCTCCCAGCCCATGTTTATAAATGGGCTGAGCATCCACTAGTCTCCTAAGAGCCTACCATATGCCAGGCTGTATTTGATGGGAAAATGCTTAAAGAATAAAACGTGATCTTTGCCCTCACAGGGCTCCCAGCCCTATACCTTCCTAAAGTTGTAGAACTCACATGCAGTGGAGTTCTCTGAAGCCAAATCCTTTCTCTACTAAGAATATTTCACACTGAGGGACTGTCCTTCTAAAATCAATGGAAGTGAGTGGTAAGTCCACTCTACCAAACAACAGATCTGTGGTTGATCCATCCTTGTCCCCAGAACCTAATACTTGCAGGCTTTGAGGAGAATGAAGAATAGAAGAGTCCAGATTATAACCTCCATGTTTTCCTTCCAGGTAGGCAAGACAGAAGAGCTTGTGCCTGTCACATTACAGAGCACAGACTGCTCTGGGAAAAATGCCTATTTGTCTTTCCCAGGCTGCCCCTACCCCACTAACAATGGAAGAGAGGACGGAGGATGATGCTGAGGAAGACTGGCTGCAGCTGCGACCAATGGAGCCCTTGCCTTCCCAGTGCTGTGGCAGCGGCTGCTCTCCCTGTGTCTTTGACCTGTATCACCGAGACCTAGCAAGGTGGGAGGCAGCCCGAGCCAGCAATGACAGGAGCCTACTAAATGAGAAGCAATCACAGGTGAGGAAGTCAGTCTTCAGACTGGAGGCCCAGGGTGACAGAGTCTATGTGATCTTGCTTTTGCCAAGTACCTTGAACAGGGGAGAGGAAAGAGTGAACAAAATGGAAACAGACAATCCAGGATTAAAATCCAGGCCTGGAACAAGCATTTTAAGAGCTATGTGATTTTTATTTAGGCAAAGTCCATTAACCTCCCTCAGCCCTAGTTTTCCCTTCTATAAAATGGGACTGAACAATTGTCATGTTTAGTACAGAGCCTGACATTTCACTTCATTATCTACTGAGTAACCATTATACATCAAGCTCTAAGCAGTTGAGGATGTGAGAATGAGCAAGATAGGCATAGGCTTGATTCATAGAGCAAATAGCATATACTAGGCCCATCGGGAATGTTGTTTCTTCTTCTCTGACCCTAACTGATTTTTCCTTCCTTTTCTGAACTCCTAGGGGACTGCAGTCTGAACCAATTTAGTCCTTTTCGATGCTTGAGAGTTTTCACAGTTAATAATTGTAGGTATCAGATCACTATAGAGTTCAACACCTATAGTAAATAGACAGGGAAACTGAGGACCCTTGCCTTCTGAGACTGCATACTCCTGGTTTTGAATCTGTCCCCATCCTGGCTTTCCACCTCAGAATAGGTTTCCCACTGCTCATGTTCCTGTTGACCTTGTAGTGTGATGGCATTTCTTTCTGTTGCTGCCTCTGTCTATGCAATAGGCCTCCTCATCACTCTGGCTAACTGTACTCCATTGTTGGGGCCCAGCTAGACCAAAGCTCAGCCCTCTATAGTCATTTATGTTATTCTGAAGCTGTAGATAATACTGTGCAGTTGTTTCTTCAAACCACAAAACCCAATTTTGTATCTTTTTTTGTTAAATGTCTCCTTGTAGTTCTGCCACAGAAAAATGGGGACCAGAGCATAGTGGCCTCTGCAATGACTGGAAAATGCTCCTAACAGTCTATGTTTCTTCTCCCTCTCTGCCTGCATCTCTATGTTGCTTGCCCCTTCACTTCTTTCTGATCTCTGTTCAAATCACATTTCACTCCTTTTATTTGTCGGTCATGGGGCTTGAACTCCAGGCCTGGGCACTGTTCCTCAGCTTTTCAGCTCAAGGCTTGCTCTCTACCATTTGAGCCACAGCACCACTTCCAGTTGGAATTGGAAATAAGAGTCTCACAGACTGGCTTTGAACCATGATCCTCAGATCTCAGCCTCCTGAGTAGCTAGGATTACAGGCGTGAGCCACCAGCACCCTGGCACATTTCTCTCTCTCTCTCCCTCTCCCTCCCTCTCTCTCTCTCTCCCTCTCCCTCCCTCTCTCTCTCTCTCTCTCCCTCTCTCTTATCTTTTTGTCACTTATGGGGCCTGAAGTCTGGGCCTGAGCATTGTCCCTCAGCTCTTCAGCTCAAGGCTAGCGCTCTACCACTTGAGCCATAGCTCCACTTCTGCTTTTTCTGCTTATGTGGTTCTGAGGAATCAAACCCAGGGCCTCATGCATGCAAGGCAAGCACTCTACCACTGAGCCACCTTCCCAACCCCCACATTTCTTTTCTTGATTATCAGTTTTACTAGATATCTTCAAGATATAACTGTTCAAATGGATATTGTCTATCTCCTTGCTAGCATCTAAGTTCTTTGAAAGAAGAGGGCTTTGTCTTGCTCACTGTTCAATCCTTAGCAACTGAGTAAACCCTGGCATTGCAGTCAATAAATAGTTGTTGAATGAATAAATGAGTTTCTTGAGGGTCTACTAGGTACCATGTCCTGTGTTCTAAGCACAAGGAAGTGAATAATAAAATCAAGATGCCAGGATGCCAGCTCTCAAAACCTCAGCTATAGAAAGGGAATGGAAGTGCAAGGTTATAATACAAAGAACGTGAGCTAAAGTTCCATTCAGCCAGTTAATTGTATGATGATAAGTATGTAACTTTAGTTTGCTAAACCTATGTTTTCTGATCTAAATATGGTGAAAAGTAGTGCCTAATTTGTAGGCTACTGTTAGGATTGTATGGGATAAATATATAAAACACAGGGCACATAGTAGGTGCGTAATAAATAGTAGCTGTCATCACCTAATAAAAATGAGCATATTTCAATAAAAATAGTGAATATAAAAATAGTAAGCCAGGCGCTGGTGGCTCACGCCTGTAATCCTAGCTACTCAGGAGGCTGAGATCTGAGGATCGCGGTTCAAAGCCAGCCCGGGCAAGAGAGACTGTGAGACTCCTATCTCCAATAAACCACCAGAAAACCGGAAGTGGCGCTGTAGCTCAAGTGGTAGAGGGCTCGCCTTGAGCTGAAGAGCTGAGGGACAGTGCCCAGGCCCAGAGTTCAAGCCCCACGACCGACCAAAAAAAAAAAAATAGTATATTTCAACCTAATAGTAAATTTATTTTAACTTTTACTGAAACACTCATAATAGAAAAAATGTTACATTTCCATGGCAATTTATAAATATAAATTTTATAAATATTCCTACATTGTTATCTCTTTCAACTTTCATGATATCTTGTAAAGTTATATGGGATGAGTGGCTCCTTTTTATAGATGAGGAAACTGTCACCTAGAGGACCAAATAACCTGTGTTAGTTCTCAAGGGTGGGCAGCAACTGAGCTAAAGCTAAAACCAGTACACCTGACTCCCAGTCTGGAGCTCTTTCCTAAGCCCCAGAAGCTGTGATGGGGGTACCCAGGTGTTCTGGCTGATGAGGAAAAGGTCATCTTGACCCAGATGAAAGTATAGAAAAGAGATAAAGCCTTGGTTACTAAGCCCGAGAATGTATGTCAATACTGTGACACTGTCAACACTACAATAAGTTAACTGGAGTTCCAAATTTTGCACTGTGCCCTGACCCGAGTAGGTCAGTTGAATCCAATGTGGGCATTTCATAGGAGAGAGAGAGAGAGCGAGAGGTATGAGTCATGACATTCAGAAAAGACTTCCTGAGGAGGCAGAGTAAGGGTTACAAAAGGACAATAGGCCGATACTCAGATGACATGAATTTGAGTCCCTTCTCACAGTATGAGTTTGGATAAAACAAGCCATTACCATACAGCCTCAGTTTCCCCATACATGATAGAAGGATATTGGATGAGATTGTTTTTGGGGTCTCATTAGCTTCTCTACTTTATAGGCTTGAAATTTAGCAAGTTGGAAGATGAGCAGATGTTTTGTGTGTTGGAAGTAAGTACTCTGGATACAGGATACTGCTTAAGCAGTAAAGTCTTAGAGACAGGAAGGAGCAGGTGGTCTTGGAAGAAGGAAGAAAAGTCTGGCCCCTGAAGTTGGGGAGATAGAATGAGGCTTTCAGATGGGTTGTCTGGGCCTTTAGGAGTATACTAAGAGCCCTGCACTGTAGCCTGAGGAAGTAAGGTGGGACCGTCTATCACACAGAACATTCACCAGCTGACACAGCTTTCACTGGGGAAAGTGGGAAGGATGCTGCGTGTCCTTGGGCTGGCCGCTAGCCAGGTCTTCCTCTGTTGCAGAGCTGTTCTTCTGAGCTGAGCCCAGAGACCTTCCTGGCCTTCCGCATCAGTGCCATGGAGAGACTCCCTGCTGACACCTACCACATCCGGTTTGCACGGCCTGGGAACAGCCAGCTTGGCCTTCAGCCAGGGCAGCACCTCATCCTGCGGTACACTTAGATCGTGGGAGGACCAAAGTTTGCTGCTTTGCTTTGCCATTTGCCAACTAGGTAGTCTACAGAAGCTTGCTTGACTTCCCTTAGGACTCCTTGTCACCTCCTTCAAGATAGACATAGTAACATGTGACTCAAAGGGTTCTTGGGATAAAGCTCAGTAATGTGTTTTTGTGATAAATAATAGTACATACATCCCAAGGCCTAGTGTGTGTGTTTTATACGCATGAGCTCATTTATCCTTCAGAAAGTCCTGTGTGATAGGTGCCACTGTCATTCCCCAGAGGAAACTGAAGTCAGGTTCAGGATTTTGCCCAAGGTCACACAATTTGGAAGTATTGGAGCTAGGAGCTGAAGACAAGCAGTCTGGCTCTAGAGCCTGTGCTCTTGACCTAATGTCATTATCACCCATTGTTTTAAAAAATAAAAAAAGGCCACTGTCATTGTAAATAAGGAACTGCTCAGAGCTACTCAGTATCCCAAAGCTACTATGTCACGGAGGCAGAATTCAAACCAGACTGCCTAGCTACTGAATTACAGTCAACCACTCCTCTGAGGTTCCTGCTGGCCCATTTTTGGTACTCTACTCCCATGCTGGTCCCCATAACTACCTTGTCAGGAACAAGACTCTGTTGGATGCCAGGTACAAGTGTTTGCCAGGCAGTCATCTAGGGGGGCCTGAGGCTCGGAAGAAAGATCTGAGCTGTGGACATGGATCTGGAGTCATCTGTACATAGTTGGATGGCATTCGAGAGCATGTGTGCATTAAAAAGAGGGAAAGGCTTAAATCTGTGCACTGAAAATATTGAAACTTATGGGAAGAGAAAAATGTAGCTAGAAGACAAGGTGGGAACAGGAGAGAGCTTATTGCTTATTGCTGCTCAGACTCTGGCCATTGATCTCTTGGTGGACTCTGGTGTTTGTTTCCAGCTCCTTCTGGCCTGTGGCCTGGTTGGCAGTCCTTAAAGTTCGCTGTGGCAGGTGGCAGGAAGAACCCAGTGCAGGCTTCAGTCCCACACAACCTTCCATGCATAAACCTGGAACAAACAGAACACCTCATCTCTAGGATGGCCCCTTATTCCCTCCTTTTTACTACCTCAGTGATATTCCTAGCACACACACATCTGACCTCTCTCCCTATTCAGATACTGCTGGTGTGCTTCATCGCTTCTGAGATGAAATCCAAATCCAAGACTCTCAGCTTCCTTTCTTCAAATTCTCACTCCCCACTCCACATGTGCTCTTGTCTTGGTCTCGCAACCCCCTGCCAACCAACTCCTGACTTACCCACATTGTGCTTTCTCTAAGCTTCTGCCTGCCAGCAGCTTGCTCATCCTCGAATACCCACTGCACAGAGAGCAGCCATTTCTGTCTCTGAAGCATATCAGTTTGACCTCTGTACAGCAGATTTCATGGTATTTCTTTGCATCTAACCAATGCCATATGTTCTTTTCATTATTTCTTCATTTGCTTCCTTAACATTTTTTTTGGTCCTGTTGTGGGGCCTGAACTCTGGGCCTGGGCGCTGTCCCTCAGCTCTTCACCTCAAGGCTAGTACTCTACCACTTGAGCCACAGCACCACTTTTGGCTTTTTTCTTTTTGCTTATGTGGTTCTGAGGAATCAAACCCAGGGCCTCACACATGCAAGGCAAGCACTCTACCATTGAGCCACCTTCCCAGCCCCTCCTTAACATTTCTTAATTTTCCATTTCACTTAGTACCTTGAATGCATTGAGACAAGGCCTTTCTAATCTGCAGAATTTAGAGCACAATGTTTTTAGCACATTGGGCTGGAAAGAGGAGTGTTTTGGTGCTCCCTCCTGTGCAGTCCTGTTTTGTTTGTTTGTTTGGTTGGTTGGGTTTTTTTTTTTTTTGCTTTTTTTGTCTTTATTTTATTTTATTTTTGGTCAGTCATGGGGCTTGAACCCAGAGCCTGGACACGTCCCTGAGCTTTTTCACTCAGGGCTAGCACTCTACTGCTTTGAGCCACAGCACCACTTCTAGTTTTCTGGTAATTAATTGGAGATAAGAGTCTTACAGACTTTTCTGCTGGGGCTGGCTTTGAACCATGATCCTCAGATCTCAGCCTCCTGATTAGCTAGAATTACAGGTGTGAGCCACCCCCCCCCCACACACACACAGCTTTGTCTTGTTTTTGTTTAAGAGGTCTTACTGTATAACCCTGGCTAGTCTCAAACTCTTGACCATGCTGAGATAATAGGTGTGAACTAGGTGTGAACTTCCATGCCTGGCTTCCATAGAAGAGCAGTAGTGAAGAACCTAGCTTGGAGTCTGAGCTGTGGTTGAATTCTAGCTGTGCAAATGACTGTCCTCTGAGCATTAGATTATGCATTGGAGTCATTGTTTAAAATAAAATAAGGCATGTACTATACTGGAAGCCTACTAGGCATTAATACAACATGACTATTATTGCTACTGATGACTGATATCTTGACCCTGTTTTGATATTGTAGAGATGATTAATGCCGAGGGCAGGGCTTTGTACCAGGGCCCTTTTGAGGATCCTTCCAGTTCTGATGCTACTGGAATTAGCAGTTCTTTTTATCCTTGTCACTCTGGTGGAGAAGAGGTCAGGGCAAACCACAGTATTGTTCCCTAAGCACATCATCAGTGTATTTTTTGAAGCGATTCCAATGAAGCCACACAAACAGGACTTAGACAGCTGTCCCCATTTTTCAGGAGGTGCTGCTGAGAGATTAAATGACCTGCCTGGGCCTCACAACAAGAATGTGGCAGTGGGTGAGCCCAAGGCTATTTCTGTGATACTTGGCCTGCCTCTTGGTGAGAGCCTCTGGGGAAGACTGGATCCCACCTTCACTGAAGAAAGTGCCAGGTCAAGGTCTGTTAAATGAATGGCTGACCATCTGTATGCTTCTTCTCAGAGGGATGGTAGATGACTTAGAAATTCAGAGAGCCTATACGCCCATCAGCCCTGCCAATGCAGAAGGATACTTTGACGTTTTAATCAAGGTGAGTTGACTCTAGTAGAAGAAGCTCCAAGTTGTCAGACTGTACCTCCATTGCCAGTGTGGTTGGAATAGGGAGTGCTAGCATGGAAGAAGATTGCACCAGCGGTAGGCCTAAGTGAAGGATCATCCTTTCCTTATCTACTGGAGAGGGGGCTGCTAGACCCCCTATGGGGGACATGTTCCTGTGGGATTTTAGGGAAAGTCACTCCTTTCACCTTCTGTCCTTGGGTGGAAAGTGAGCCTGATCTGGGCTGAGAAGGGGAACAAGTCCCCACACCTAATGTGTGTTAGGCTGGGATCCAGAAGTGAGTCAGACACCTTGCCTGCCCATGAAGAACTGCCCCACAGGACAAATGATGGAATCAAGACTCTTAGTGTTCGGTTTTTAAAAAGAGGTAGCCTAGTAAGAACAGCACCACACACGTGGTATTCAGGTAAGGGGTAGGTTTATTCATCGTTCTGGCTGGCACCAGGCCATGTTGGCCCTCCACATGGCTGGGAAAGGCCTGGGAATGAGAGTTGGGAAAGAGAGAGAGCTGGGAAAGAGAAGAGAGAGCTGGGAAAAAGAGAGAGCTGGGAAAGAGAAGGAAAGAGCTAGAAAAGAGAGCATCTGGGCCTGGGCTAGGCCTTATCTAGGGTATGGGTGGAGAAAGGTGTGGCCACATCAAATTCAGATGTGACCTCAGCTGATGCAGATGTGACCTCTTCCAGGTGTGCCAGTTGCCTAGGTAACGCAGGTAACTGGGCGGAGACTTTGCTGCGAGGAGGGTGGAGTCTGCTCGCCATCCAGGAGCAGACCTTACACTTAGTACGAGGGAGAAATGCTCTGACAGAGGAGGCAGCTGGGGTGCAGGGAAACAGACTGAAAAGCAGAGCTGCATCTTCACACTCTCTGTTTAAGGAGTGGGGAATGAGGGAAATTGTGAGAAGGAAGCTGGGTGCTGGGAACAGCACTGCAGAAGAGGCATGAATTGGGGTAGTAAGTCTTTGATCCTGACACAGGAGGCTAGCCAAGCGGGCAGGATGTAGGTTGAGAAAGTCAGACAGAAGGTAGGGCATGAGAACCCTGTGGACTGAGAGCTAACCTGACCTCACCTCTGAAGAAAGAGAACAATTAATGGTAGCAGGGAATAGCACTTTAGGCTGTGGGAACAAATAGCCAGAAAGAACAAGTCTTCTGGGAAATGTACCTGGCCTGAGTGGCAGGAGGAAACAGTGCCTGTGGAGCAGCCGTAAGGACAGACAAGCCGGCAGAGATAGGGTAAATAAGTTGAATACCTAATGCTCCAGAGACCCAAGGACTAAGCAATAAACACATGAAGTCAGGGAGGCCTAGTTGTGTGGAGAGTGTTAGGCTTTTAAAAAGAGGTTAAGAACAGCACCACGCACGTGGTTTTCAGGTAAGGGATAGGTTTATTCATCGTTCTGGCTGGCACCAGGCCATGTTGGCCCTCCACATTGCTGGGAAAGGCCTGGGAAAGAGAGCTGGGAAAGAGACGAGAGCTGGGAAAGAGAGTGTCTAGGCCTGGGCTAGGCCTTATCTAGGGTATGGGTGGAGAAAGGTGTGGCCACATCAAATTCAGATGTGACCTCAGCAGATGCAGATGTGACCTCTTCCAGGTGTGCCAGTTGCCTAGGTAACGCAGGTACTGGGTGGAGACTTTGCTGTGAGGAGGATGGAGTCTGCTCGCCATCCAGGAGTGGACCTTATAGAGAGAATACTTGGGTTGTTGTACATGAAGCTGCTGGTTTTAACATTTGGACCTCCAGCAAGCGCAGTATCAAGTATGTAGCTCTCAACCGTTATTTCCCAGACGAACCCTGGGCGACACCAATGTGGGTAAAGACCTCTCACATCCTGGCCCCTTGTGAGGCAGCTGTGCAGTATTATCTTATCTCACTGATGAATTGTCAGACACCAGAAGACCCCTGGTCCACAGCTAGTAAGAAATGCTATAAAAGGGGCAAGCCCCAGCCCCCAGCTCAAAGACCCCCGTGCTGTCTCTGGCCCCCACCTTCCCTGCTTGCCTTCCTGCAGAACCCGAATGTTTACTCCGTCACACATAAGCCTGGATGGGCTCCCTTCTGCATGAGAATGTTTGTCTGGGAGATTCCACAAATCCTCTCCAAATGGCCCGCTTCCCTGCGCTGCTTGTCTGGGTGTGTTTCTGCTGAGAGGATAAGCCGGAGACAGCCCTCCAGAGCAGCTGGATCCCTCCCAGCTGCAAGGCTGATTTTCTCCTTCGTTTGCCGGAAAGCCTCTCTTTAGAGAGGTACCTCATTATCCCTAAGCCGCTGGCTGGGAAGAGCCGGAAATGTCTTTGCCAGTTGGGAAGGCAGCAGGGGGCCTGGGGTTTACCTTCCCAAGCAGACAGGAAGTATGTGTGTATGGGGGATGGCTCCCCCTTCTCCAGTACCTGGAACTCTGGGCACTGCTTCTGGATCTTTGTTTACATTGCTGCCTTTCAGTAGATGATATTAGCACTGCTTTCCAGATGAAGAAACCAAAGTTCAAAGGCCCCTTAGGCAATATGAGCCCAAGTAGGACAAAAGCTCAGTCTCAATTGTGTTTCTAAGTGTGTATTGTACACTTACTCTGGGCCAGGCTCTGTGCGGCTGCTGGAAATGCAGAAGAATCCTTTCCTTCTCCTTGGTGCTCTCTGTGCCACGGGACTGCTTGAGCCACAGCTGTGCTTCCTCAAGACTGGTGCCAAAAACCAAAGTGTCCTCAAGACACAACCTGTAGCAAAGCAGGAGTGAAGTAGAAGGCTTCCTCCCAGCCGAAAACTTCCCTTTCCTTGTACAGACAGTGTGCACTGAGTCTGAAATGGTATCAGAAGTGGCTGTGGGTACTCAAAAGTAGGTCTGGGTACGAAAGCCTCATGTCTCCTTCAAGCCTGGTTAGACTTATATAGTCAGATCTTCCAGTCAGGTCTGTTGGTGCTTCCTCTCACCCCATCTCACCATGACCATGTGTCCCTCCCAAAACAAGACCTGGGCTGTCTTACCTCTGACCCATACTACTCCTGATACCCAGAGCCCCGTCTGTACGTCACCTTCCATTCCCAGAGAATTAATCCTGCTTATCCTTTAAACTGTCTCAAAGGCTTCCTCCTCCAGGAAGCCATCCTTAGTAGACTCTGTGCTAGGGTCCCTAGCCCTTTATCTTTTTACCAGGTATTAGACAGTTTCTGCCTTGTGTCTGAGATATAGTTCCCCCATAGGCTGCAAGTTCCTTAAAGGAAAAGCCTAAATCTGGATTAATTAATTGGTTCATATATTAAGTCCTTTTCCTAATCCAGGTACTGGCTGCCTTCATGCAGCTTAAGGCCCAGCGTGGTGTCTGGCACAGAGCAGGCAGGTGCCCAGGTAGTATAGACTGCCCACCCCTCTGAAGGAGTCCTTTCCATACCTTCATTTCTCATTCAGTCAGGAAGTGATATAAGACATAATCCAGAAAGTATTAATGAGTAGCCTACAAACTGAATCCAGAGTACAAGTCTACTTGGTTTAGGTCTATAGTGTTTCACAATTTTGAATTAATTGCTGGTACTTCAGAAATGGGAGATGTTAAAAGTAGGGATTTCTGCTCTTGGAAAATCAGAAGACTTGGTACATCAGCTCCACATACTGTGTACTGGAACCTCTGAAGTGTCCCCTCCCCCCAGTCTCACAGTCCCACCACTCCCTACTGTCCCTGGCACTGAGTGCTAACTGTAATTAGTTATACCGAACTCTTCCCTTAGTCCTGTTACCTACATGATCCTTGTGGTTTGAGATTCTGAGGAAGGCTGTGGGCCCTGTGGGTTCTCATCCAAAAGCTTTGTCATCTCCTTGAATGTGAGTATCTGGACTTCATCTGAAAGCTGAGAGTGATATGGCAGTGTGGTCTGGACTGGGGTCATGTGTCTTCCTCACTGAGTGCTCTCCGTCTTTGATTCTAGTGCTACAAGACTGGGCTGATGTCCCGGTATGTGGAGACCTGGAGAGTAGGAGACACAGCTTTCTGGCGAGGACCTTTTGGAAGCTTCTTCTATCAACCAAACAAGGTCAGTGCCTGCATCCTCAGCCTTGAGGACTCCCCTGCTTGTCCTCTAGAACTGTAATTCTCCTGTTCCAAGACATAGGAGCTCATGTGCCATTTTTCCCAAGCTTAAGCTCAATCCCTAAAGTATCGTTGGGGTTGGTCATGGGAGGAGGTGGAAATGGCACTAACAACCAAAATCCAGCACTATCAATGGCTGCCCTTGGCTTTAGGACTGATTCTCCTGTCCCTTAGATGCTGTTCTAGTTGTACCTTCCCCTTATGCGACTAAATACAGTCCAGCCCCTGCTCAGGAGCAGCTCAAGAAGCTCTTGCCCTTTTCTTCGTGGCATGGTCAGATCCCAAGCAGAAATTATTTGGTACTCACCTGGAAAGCAGTTTGCCAGGATAGACCAAGAGTCTTTAAGCATCTTTAAACCCTTCAGCCCAATAGTTCTACTTTTGGAAATCTATTCTGTGAAAAGAATTCAAAATGCTGACTCTTGCACATATTCATGGTATCTTTATTTATACTGCAGAAAAAAAAATGGAAGCAACTGAATATCCAACAACAAAGAACCCTGTATGCAGGGTTATAGGTACTAGATAAAATATTATCCTGAATTTTAAAGTTGTGCTTATAAATGATGTTATATACTTCTACCTACAAATAGTAGGTATATACTATGAATATACATAGGTTAAAAAACTAACTTAAAATTCACAGAAAAAAATAGGAAAGGAAAATTTAATGAAATGTTAGCAGCTCTAGGTGGCAAAATTATGGGTGATTTTTATTTTCTTCATTATACTTTCCAAATTATCTGAAATGAGTGCCTATTATCTTTATAATTAGGAAAACAAAGCAAAATGAAAACAAATGGAAAAGAATGAATCATGCTTGTGTGCCATTCTTTCAGTTTAATTTTAAAATAGCTTTTATTGTTTTTTTTCCCCCCTCATTACAAATGCAGTGCATGTTCACTACCAAAAAAGAAATCAGCAGCTAGAGATAGAAGAAAACAAAAAACATCTGCAGGGCATCTCTCTAGACACATCAGTCTTACTACCTTGGTATTCTTCCAAGTCCTCCTCCGTTCATGGGGATATAGACAAACACATGCACACTCATACGTGTGTATGTGTAGAGTGATGCTATCAGGGATGGGGTGTAGTTCCGTGACAGAGCACTGCTGAGCCCAGTGATCCCCTAGGTAAGAAACATGGGATTTCTGTGTGATTTGTGGATGTATACAAGGCATCCAATAGGTTTCTTCTTGGCCACCCAGTGTCCACTTTAGGCCAGAAGGAAACAGGGACAACTCCCCCCTGCCTTCCCCTGCCCCAGAGGCATGGGAACACAGCTGGGCTGACCACGGCTAGTACCAGGAGAATGCTGCAGAAGAGCACTGTCCTTGGCACGCGTGTGTGTGTGTATAAGATGCGAGACTCACTTGAGCACTGTTGGAGGAACTGAGCGAGTCTCACATATACATGCTAAGAGTGGAGCATGCACATGGGTGCTGTAAATGTGTTCATGTGTTATCATCATCGTCAACATCATCATCACCATTTATGTGGTGCTGAGGGGGAGCCCAGGGCCTCATGATGTACCAACAACAGAGTTAGAATGGAGTTGGGTATGAACAAGGCTTTGATGGGGGCAAGTTTCAATGGAGCAGGAGATGGGAAGACCTCCCTAGCAAGAACAGTTGACCTGCAAAAAGCAAGCCACCTTGGGAGGTAGTGAATTCCCTGGCAGCAGAAGCATGTAAGCAGAGTTCTTAGGGTGCTTTAAAAGACAGCCGAGGCTGGGTGCCAGTGGCTCACGCCTATAATCCTAGCTACTCGAGAGGTTGAGATCTGAGGATCACAGTTCAAAGCCAGCCCAGACAGGAAAGACCATGAGACTTTTGTCTCTAATTAATCACCAAAAAAGCCAGAAGTAGAGCTGTGGTCAAGGGTAGAGTGCCAGCCTTGAGCACAAAAAGCTCAATGATAGCACCCAGGTCCTGAGTTCAAGTCCCAGGACTGGCACACAAAAAATAAATAAATAAAAAGCTGGGTTATGCTACGTTAGGCTCCCCCTCCTGCCTCAAATTTCCATAATCTCTGTTGTATAGACTTCCCTCAGGATCCCTTCACAAGTCAGGATGACTCTCTTAGAGCTCGTTTAAAAAAAGGGGGGGCACTGAAGGGTGGGACACTGGGAGAGACACTTCTGTTCAGCTCAGGCAAGCCCAAGAAAAAACATGGAGTGGGGAAGTGAGCCCCCAGTCCACCAATCCTCCCCATTCTACTCCCCAGCATGGTGAGCTCCTCATGTTGGCTGCCGGCACGGGCCTGGCCCCCATGGTACCCATCCTACAGAGCATCACAGACAACGCAGACGATGAGACCTTTGTCACCCTGGTCTGCTGCTTCAAGACCTTTGAGGGCATCTACCTGAAAACCTTCCTCCAGGAGCAGGCTCAATTCTGGAATGTCCAAACCTTCTTTGTACTCAGCCAGGTAAGTGCCCTGAGATGCTGCAGTCCACTTGCTTCCAGTCCAAGGAGCAGCTCTTCACCTACCTGCTTCAGGTGTTACCATGTTCATTACACACACGAGGGAAGGAGCTCAAAGAGGTCTAGAGTTTGTATGCCATGCTGTAGATGGGTGAACCAAGACTTGGACCCAGGCCTGGGTGTATTCCTGAGCTCCAAGGGGTATCACCAGTCCTGTGGGCTGGGGTCTGGATGCAGAATCAGAACAAATTGCAGCCTTAAGGTCCTGGAAGGCAGGACCAGATGAGTAGCTCTGTTAGTGCTTAGCATGGTGCTGGGCTCAGGAGAGGCTCCATCTAGAACTGCCTAAGTTCACGATATGTAGTAGGCTCCCTGCCACCTCACCTTATCCCTCCGGCTGGACAGCTGTGATCAGACTCATCAAGCTGCAGATACTTTAGCTAAAAGCCCCTTCCTCATTACAGTGATCCATCCTTCCCTCCTCCTAGGGCCACAGTTTGGGGGCCCTCAGCTACCTTTGTTCTGCCTCCCTGGACTCTGTAGCTTTGCTTCTTTCCTGTACCCTCTGTGGCTGGGTCTCCTGCTGGAACCCCCCCACCCCCACCCCATTCCCTGTTGCCCAGGGTCAGTCTCCTTAACCTGTGCTGTAGATCTCTTCCTCCTCAGTGTCCTCTGTGAAGACAGTTCAAGGGATCCTCAACAAGGTAGATGGGAGGGTCAGGAAATTGGATCTCCCTTTCCAAGCCTGAGTTCTTGAACTCCCTTGGGGCCAGTGGCTGCAGGGGCACTGGTGTCCAAGGGCACAACACTCCACGCCATGAACATAGAGAGGGTCATACATGGTGATCATTACCAGCTATAGGAAGTGTCTAAGGCAGGGGTGTGAAGCAGGATGAGCAGCCTGAGGGGGATGGGGCAAGGACAAGTTACCAGCTAGAAGCATGTCGGCTCTGCCCAAGAGCCTGGGCCAGGACCATGGCAAGAAGGCAGGCAACTGGCAGGCACACCAGGGCTGCCAGCCAGCCAGCTTTCTCTTCCCACCATGCTCCAGGTGTGAGATACCCAGACGTGAAGATGCCCATTCCCTGCCCTCGAGGCACTCAGCTGTGTATGGGGCGACAGCCCCAGGGATGGCTGAGCACATTCCCCTTCATGGAGCACTTCTCCATGCCTAGCACCCTTTAAGCACAAGTGTGTATTGATTCATTTAATCCCACCACAATCTCATCAGACTTGTATTGCCATTGTGCCCCCTCTTATAGGCGTGGAAACTGAGGCACAGAAAGATTAAGAACAAAGTAATGTCCGGCACTGGTGAATCACACTTGTCATCACAGCTACTCAGGAGGCTGAGATCTAATGATCACAGTTTGAAACCAACCTGGGCAGAAAAGTTGATGAGACTCTTATCTCCAGTTGATCAGCAAAAAGTTGAAATGGAGCTGTGGCTCAAGTGGTAGTGCACTAGCTTTGAATAGAAAAAAAAAAAAGCTCATGGACAGCACCCAGGCTCCAGGACTAATCCAAAAATTAAAAGTAGCACAGCTAGCCAGTAGAAAGCTGAGTACAAACAGTACTGCTCAGAGGTTATTCTCTTACTGAACCAGCACAGCGTGCTCATGCTGGAAGATATCCAGGGTGCTGGAAGCCAGTAGGGACCCAGGAAAGATTGGGATGAGAGAAAAGGACTTCTAGAGTAAGTGCATTTGAGGTTGGCCTTGAGGGTAGAGGGCTCAGGTGGTGACAGAGGCTGGTGAGTGGGCTGGCTGTCAATGGCATGGTGGTGAATAGGAGTGACTGCATTGGTTCCTTCTGTCCACATGCTCTTGACTCAGGATGCTTCCTCCCCTGCTTGGATCCTGGTAACAGTGTCCTCATGGGCTTCCTGCTTCTGCCAATTTGTCCTTTATCCTGCAGCTGGAAGGACACATCTGACCACATCACCACCCTGCTTCCAGCCCTTTCCTGGCTCCCCATTGCTCTTAGGATCTTGTCCAAGCCCATCGGCCCTGCCAGCCTCTACAGCCTGTCTCCTGGCCCGCCTTCTCTGCATCTGTGTCCTGTGTCACTGGTCCACTTGCAGGTGCCAGTGTGCTGTGCTTTCTGCCCACTAGATCTTTGCTCCTGCTGCCCCCTGCCAGGAGTGTTTTCCCCGACTTTCCTCACACCTGCTCCTCCTTCCCCTGATGAGGTGGAAGTCCAGCCTAGAAGCTCTCCGGGAACCTTGGCTTGGTGTTGGAGTTTTGCTATCACAGCCCGGGCTTCCCTGTCACTGTCCCACTGCCCTGCACTGCACTCCTCTCTCACTAAAGTTCTTCAGCTTCATGCACTTAATGATATGCACACTTAAAAATGTTTACTTAAGGGTGGCATTGTCCAAAAAGAAATGTACTCTTTTTTTCTTTTTTGGGTCCGGTCGTGGAGCCTGAACTCTGGGCCTGGGTGCTGTCCCTCAGCTCTTCAGCTCAAGGCTAGCACTCTACCACTTCAGCCACAATGCCACTTCCTGCTTTTTTATTTTTGCTTATGTGGTGCTGAGGAATCGAACCCAGGGCCTCAGGCATGCAAGGCAAGCGCTCTACCACTGAGCCACCTTCCCAGCCCAAGAAATGTACTCTTTATCTGGCTTACATAACTGTGCGTCTGTCACCTTTATAATAACAATTTAAAAAATTTAAAACAACAGCAACTAGATTCAGCCACCTAGAGAGAAGACACAGAGGGGCTGGGAAGGTGGCTCAGTGGTAGAGTGCTTGCCTTGCATGCATGAGGCCCTGGGTTCGATTTCTCAGCACCACATAAGCAGAAAAAGCCGGAAGTGGGGCTGACGCTCAAGTGGTAGAGTACTAGCCTTCAGCTGAAGAGCTGAGGGACAGCACCCAGGCCCAGAGTTCAGGCCCCCACAACCGACCAAAAAAAAAAAAAGAGAGAGAGAGAGAGAAGACATAGAGAGGACAGACCATGCACAGAAAGAACACAGAGCAGTAGGACCTTTATGTAAGATAGTTCTAAAAAGTTTTCATACTCATTTTTTAAAAATGCTTACTTAAAATAGTAGAAGTTGCCAGGCACTGGTGGCTCATGCCTGTCATCCTAGCTACTCAGGAGGCTGAGATCTAAAGGTCACAGTTCAGAGCTAGCTCAGGCAGGAAAGTCTGTGAGACTCTTATCCCCAATTAACCACCAGAAAACCAGAAGTGGCACTGTGGCTCAAGTGGCAGAGCACTAGCCTTGAGCTGAAGAGCTGGGGGACAGAGCCCAGGCCCAGACTTCAAGACCCATGACCACCACCAACAATAACAAAAGTAGAAGCCCTTCCATGCAGCAAAGTAGAACTTTCATTTTATGACCCTGAGGAATAAACTTTGAGCTGAGGCTGGGGGACAGAGGAAGGGGCCCTGCAGTGCCCAGTGAGTGGCTTATGCATGGTGACAGCACTGCTCCCTGGGACCTGCCTGACACGCAGCCAGAGCAAGACCTGGAGCCTCACCTTTTGAGTAACTTTCCTGTCCCCAGTGCCTAGCACAGTGCCTGGCATGGAGTGAGCATTCAAGAAGGCTTTTCAAAGAATGTATGTAACATGGAAATCTTTTTTTAATGTAAAGTTTTACTTTTTAATTGTTATTCTAAAGGTGATGTACAGAAGGGTTACACTTACACAAGCCAGGTAAAGACTAAAATGCCATCCTTTTCCTAGCTTTCTCCCAGTTTTTCCTTCCCGTGCCCACTCACAAGTGGAATAGTTCATTTTCAACATCCTGTCTAATGAATATCACTCCTGTATTTGTTCACCTTTTGTCTCTCCATTTCAGTGCCCCCCGTGCCCTCCCAAAGACAGATCAACAAATAAGACAAAAAAGAAAACAAAAACATCAGCAAAGGAAAAAAAACCTCTTGTTTCCATTTCATTTCAATAACTGTGATTCTATCTGATCAAAGGCACAGAGACACTGAACCTTTGGTGTGTGAATGCCTCGAGTCCCATATTATTTATCATATCCCAGTGTATTTTACATCTAGCTTCTGCATATGAGAGAAAACATGTGACCTGATATTGAAACCTTAACACAGATGGACAAAAGCATGCAGAGGTGATGGGGATGGATCCAGGAGTGCACCAGGTACAGCTGCTGCAGGGCAGCAGCATGCGGTGATGGGCCTCGAGCTTTGGGCCTGCCAGCCCAGCCTCCCTGTGCCTTACCTGCTCTGGGAGGAGACAACTTTCGCTGCTGCTAGGCAGAAGGGCTTGGTGAAGGCTGGCTTTCCCCTCACCTCAGTTTCCTCATTTGACTCAGCAGAGAGTGGCTTTGGGTACTCTGAGGACCTCCAGTCACCACCTCTGCTTTTTCCTGCCTTCCCAGGAGAACTCCCCAGAACAGCTTCCCTGGAGTTACCGTGAGAAGACCCGCTTTGGCCACCTGGGCCAGGACCTGGTTGAAGAACTGGTGGGCTGCTGCCGAAAGAAGCCATTTGCATTGGTCTGCGGCTCCCCTGAGTTTACTAAGGACATGGCTGGGTGCTTGCTGGGTGCAGGCCTGACCAAGGACTCCTACTTCCTCTTCTAGGCTAGCCTTGCTGCTGAGTTACCAGGTGACCTTGGACTTCTCTTTCCCACCTGGTTCACAAGGTTGGGTCATTCCCTCCTGGCATCTTGCTGTGTGGAGGGAGGATGGGGTTGCAGGCACCAGCCTGGGGACCAGGAAGGCCTTCTCTAGTAAGCCAGGTCCACTGCACTCACAAGGCATAGGTGTTGGGTAGAAGAAATGGGGAGAAGCCTCCCTCATCCCTCCAATCAGGGGTCCTGTTAGAGGCTCCTCCCCTCAGCTCAGGTGCTCCCTGAGTATTTAGGGAATGACCCCAGGAGCAGCTCAGGACTCTTTGACGAAGCACTTTAACTTCAGTGCCGTGAGTCTGGCATGCTGAAGGCCTTGGGCTCTATGACCTGGTCATGTTTTCAGAGCAAGGACTTGCCCTGGATTATCTATCTATTGGCCTCAAGCCTTTCCTGCTGCAAACAGCTTCCCTCTCAGTCTCCTTTTCCTGGCTCAGGCTACCAGGCTAGAGTTTTTTTTTTTTTTTCCCCAGCAAAAAAAGAAACATGGGAGGCAAAAGCCCCTCCCTCTAACAGGCAGTCAGCTCAGCCCATGCCTTCAGCTCGGTGCCCTGACAACGGTTGCTATGGAGATCTAAAGATAGAGCAGGAGTCTGGAGACCTGGGTCCCTCTCCCAGCTCTGCCCACTGAGTGGCTGCCAATTCAGGTCCACCCAGCCCCCCACCCTACCTCCTCCATCCTGCACAGGGCATGCCCTCTCCAGGGAACCTGGTGCCCCTGGGCAGTGCTCTGCAGTTAATGAATTCCGCTTTTCGCAGCCTGGGCCCCAGGGTGCTGCGCCAGCACAGGCAGACTGCAGGCAGTCCCAGACTTGGAATACTCAGCAGTGGAATGTTGGAATCAGAGAGCCGTGAAACCTTAAGAATGAGACTTTTATAATCATAGAATTGCTGTCCTCCCAGCAAAGCTGAAAGTCTAGCTTGCCAGATGGTCCAGATTCATTGTCTACATAGGAGACTGAGGCCCGGTGAGGCTGCATGACTCACCCAAGGTGGAGCTGTGACAGCACCAGAAGTCGCACTTCAATCCCAGCTCGGATCTACACCATGGACTCCATCAGGGCTCCACGGGTACTAGGGATGCTTGCTGGATGCCAACAGTGAAGGGATGGCCAGAAGGATTTCCATTTCTCCTTCTACCAAGCAGGTGTTTTTATCCCACTTACATAGTGAAACTTGGAGTGATTTTGATTTGTCCGGAAGGATTTTCCTGCCCCGCCCAAAAAGCCACAGGAAAACCCTGCCTGTGCCATGGTCACTAAAGAGTCACAATGAACTCAGACAGAGAGAGAGAGAACAGGTTTCAAACTGGTAGGGTTTTCATGTCAGGCTACAGGATGTAGCCTCCAAGAACCCTACACACATGGACACAGTAAATGCTCTGAAATCATAAGTCAAGAAGTGTTTCCTTTTGTCTAACTAGATTTCTCAAGCTTCTTCCTATAAGCATGTCTGTGGGGTTCAAGTTCTGTCTTAACAACATGAGGACAATACAAGGCCCTGATGCAGAGCCAGAATTCCCAAACAAGCACTTTGTTCTTCCCCTGCCTGGCCTGTACTTGGCCAAGATACTTTCCCGCTGTCAGGGCCTCTGGGATCTGTGTGACCCTCCTGCTCACCTGGCCTTCAGTGCTTTGTGAGTTCTATTGATTCTACTCAAGATGCTGGCCAGAGTGTGTGTGTGATGTGATGAACCAGACTGTTCTAGACATCAAAGAAACAACACAAATGAGGTAGATGCCACCTTTTTACTGGGATACTCCCCAGTTGGACATATGTGTTTCTGTGTTGTACTAGGAGAGTAGAGGTCAGGATGTTAGCCTGGGCAGGGCCAGGGCCACACCTCTGCACTGAGAATTCAGGCTAACAAAGCAATGCCCTTACCAGTAATGGGGGGAGGGTCCCACTAAGGGCTGGGGAGTCTAGGGTGATTCTTGTATGTCTCTCTGTACCATTTTAGATATTTGATGTCTAGACAGTAGAGGAGGCCACCAGAGGTAACTGACCATCCTTCCCCTTGACCTAGAACAGATCATCTTCCCCTTCCCTGATCCATATAGGATCTGTGGTCTGGCCTCTGGTGGGAATCGCTTATCATGGGACATTGTTGAGGACCCCGCTGTGTTCTTGGTGCCAAGATGCCCAAATTACTCCTGTCACACTTGAGAACTCATGGCTGGTGCTGTACTCCAGAGTGTACGTGAGCCCCAGAAGAGGGCTGGTCAGGACATATGAGGACAGCCCTCTTGGGATTGGGGTGAGGTTCCTGTCACTTAGCCAGTTCCTCTCATTTCTCCTGATAAGGGCCTCATGCAGACTCGGGGGGCGGGGTGTGCTGCTGGGTGACATCATGTGAGGCTTCCATGGGAGAAGGGAGACTCGTGAGTTCGACATGAGTCCAGTGTTGTTCTGTGAGCCAGACGAGTCTTGACCCAGAGCTTAAGGAAGATGACAGCTACCAAAGGGCTTGGAGGACTGCTACCAAGGGGCCTTAGTGACAAGAGCCATGATTGCTTTGGTTCAGGTCTTACCTCTTCAGCATTGCTGCCATTGGTCTCCTGGTCTCTCCCCTCCACACCACTCCTAACACTCACACATCGCTGAGCCTGTCACTGCCTCACTTGAAAGCCTGAAGTCAGGGTATTCATCTCAGCTTGGCTCACCTTGCACACCCGGATAATGCTGCAGCCCCTCATATCCACCCCCCACGCCCCAGACAGGTAGTTCGGTGTCGGATACTTGCTCTGCCTCTCCTGCCCGTCTCCCATGTGCCTTCCTTTGCCTTCTCCTCTTCCAGCTGTTAGCACAGTGTGACTTTCTAGAGAAGCTCCGCCATGCCTCCCGCACCACGCTAGATCAGTGTGCAGAGACTCTGTTCTTCCTCAGCCACCCTCATCAGACTGGGCACAGCAAGGGCGCATGGGGCCGCTCCACAGCGTCCCTAGTGCACAGGGTTCTTACACACCCTGAAGGTGGAATGCCTGATGGATAAACGAGCAGTATCCAGGGAGCACTTGGCAGGTGCCAGGGTGCTCCCATTCTACAAGGGAGCCAGAATCTTTATGTCATTTTTTTTCTTTTTACCACCATTTGTAACTGAGGAAAACAAGACATCAAGCACTTCTCCAAGGTTGTGTAGGGTGACACAAGTCCAACAAGCTGCAATTGCTGTAAAGGTTATGTGTGACATGTAAGTACACCTGCAGATATTTATAAAGATTTTTTTTTGTCAGTAGTGGGACTTGAACTCTGGGCCTGGGCGCTGTCCCTCAGCTCTTCAGCTCAAAGTTAATGCTCTACCACTTGAGCCACAGCACCACTTTCGGGTTTTTGGTGGTTTATTGGAGATAAGAGTCTAAATGGACTTTCCTGCCCGGGCTGGCCTTGAACCATGATCCTCAGATCTCAGCCTCCTGAGTAGCTAGGATTACAGGCGTGAGCCACTGGCACCCAGCGACATCATTTATTTCCAAACCCTTCGCTGTCAGGTATTCCCCACCCCATGTCATATATGGTGTCTCAACAATTTCAGCTACTCAGGAGGTGAGACCAGAAGGATCAAGATTTGAGGCCAATCCAGGTAACAAGTTAGCAAGACCCCCATTTCAACCAACAAACTGGCCCTGGTCACAAGTATCTGTCATCCCAGCCATGTAGAAAGTACAGGGAAGATGATCACAGTTGTTTGAGACCATCCCACACACAAAAATGTAGGATTTTTCTGAAAAAAAAGCAAGAAAGGGCCAGAGGTGTGGCTCAAGTGGTAGAGGACCTGTCTAGCAGGGGCAAAGCCCTGAGTTCAGGCAACATACATTTAAAATTCTTATTCCACCAGGTTGAGATATGCCTGTAATCCTATCTACTTGGGAGGTAGAAGCAGTAGAATTGCAAGTTTGAAGCCACCTGGGACAAAGTAACACTCTCTATCTCAAAAATAAAATTAAATAAAAGCAACACAGGGCTAGGGACATAGCTCAAGTGGTAGGATGTTTGCCTAACAAGGATTTAATCCCCAGTATCAAAACACACACACAAAGCAATTACCCACCCACCCCACTATAGTGGCACATACCTATAGTCCCAGCTACTCAAGAGCATACAAGTTTGATGCCTGAGCAATATAGCAAAACCCTGTTTCAAAGAAAGAAAAGAAAACAAACCTTATTATTATTTTTCCCATGCTCTGGAAGATTTTGATCCCAAATTGCTTGTATTAAGTCATTATTAATTTATCTCCCATTTTTTATTAATCAAAGACATTGATAGCTGCTGTTCAGAGCTTCTGATCTCTACATCCAGCTGGGAGTTGCACGTGGCTGACATGCTCCTGGCCAGAGGCGTAGGAGCTCTACAGCGTGTGTGGTCTGGATGGCCTGCGGAGGGGTCAGTGAGCAAGCGTTGTATGCCTTTTCTTCTCTAATTGGCCATGAGTGGTGACTGCTGCTGGCCTTACACAGGTGAGCACTGGCAGGCAGAGCAGAGTTTGAGTTCCCAGGCCAGACCTTAGTGTGGGATCCCAGAAGAATCCCAGGTCCCTCATCCCTCAGGGTTCACTCCAAATAGATGGCATGAACCAGTGCCACACAGAAGAGGGTGGGGTTCACATAACAGGAGGTGGCAAAGCAATCTGTGTGTGGATCCCACAGGCTTTGGCTGGACACCACCACATCCCCCTGCCCCTTGCTCCCAATGCTGACAGAGCACACGATCTTGTAACGAGGTGGAGTGACAGCCTTGACCAGGTCCCGGATCTCAGCACTCAGAACAGTGGCCAGGTGGGCACATTGAGCAGGATGGTAAGCCACGCTGGCCAGCTTGGAGGGCAGGTGTGCCTGCATCAGCTCCTCTGCCTGGGCACAGGGGAATTTCACCTTGGGCCTGGGTGACCACAGGGGAACCTGGAATTAAGAGAGGAGGAAATGAAGGGTGTTGGTGGCAAGTGGAATTTGGACTTGAAGCCTATTATGCTGGATTTGGAGCAGAAGTTGGGATGGAAGATGGATGCAGAGCCTGGAACACAGGATAGAACTCTAGAAACTGTACTGCTCTGTATGGCAGAATTAACCTGGCTTCCACGTGGCCCCATCTCTAATGAGGCCTGATGCCCTCTTCTCACTGCTACCTCAAGGCTACAGCCATACCTGCTCCTGGATGATGCTGACGGGCCAGCTGTGGCTCACTGTGGGCTGCGCCTTTGTTTTCAAAGATGTCCGGTTCTGAAGCAAGGAAAATGAGAGTTGAGATGAACATCATTTACTGAATGCCCCTGAGTGTTTGAGGCAAGATTTACCTCAGAGCTGACTCTTGCATGGAAGGTGATTCAGGTAAACATGGAGGAGTTGGGGAGGGAAGACTGGGTCGTTGGCAGGAACTCACTGGAGGCAAATTGGTGCTCACCTAGCTGGGATCCTGCCAAAAGGCTGCAGGACAGGCCTCACTCAGAATTACCCCCGAGAGGGATAACAAGGCAGGGGCATCCATCCACCAGCAGCCCGTCTCCTCACTGGCTAGAGCCTAAGTCCCCAGCATTTGTAGCCTCCCCTGGGTGGGCTCAGTGAAGCCCTCGGTGCAAGTAGAAACATCCCATAGGAGCCACAGGCAGACAGGGTGATTCAGGTGGCCTATTGAGTTTACTACATTGTCTCCCTGAATGCTGTCTCTTGGCTTTTTTACCCAAGGCTGTCACTCTACTAGTTGAGCCACAACTCTATTTCTGGCTTTTTGCTGGTTCACTGGAGATAAGAATCTTACAGATAAGAGTCTTTTCCTGGGCTAGTTTTGAACTGTAATTCTCAGATCTCAGCTTTCCAAGTAGTTAAGATTACAGGTGTGAGCCACTGGCACCCATTTTATTAAAAAGTAAGAAATGAATTCTCAAGGGCTGGGAAGGTGGCTCAGTGGTAGAGCGCTTGCCTTGCATGCATGAGGCCCTGGGTTCGATTCCTCAGCACCACATAAGCAGGAAAAAAAAAAGCCGGAAGTGGTGCTGTGGCTGAAGTGGTAGAGTGCTAGCCTTGAGCTGAAGAGCTGAGGGACAGCACCCAGGCCCAGAGTTCAGGCCCACGACTGGACCTCCCCCCCCCCAAAAAAAAAGAAAGAAATGAATACTCAAGAGGTAATGCATTCGTGGAGAATGGTATTCTTACATGAGGGCTGGCCTCAATATGGTGTCCCCCCTCATCCCATTCCTCCACACGGTAAAAGATCAGGCCAGTCAGCATTGTACTAGTGATGGTTGACGGTAAGCACACACCTGTGGGCTAGCTCCCACTACCCTGTAAAGGGAAGAGGCAGCTGTCCTTTTCCTCTTAGGATGGCATCCAAGAGCACAGGGAAGAACTGTATAAGAACTGGCCCACAGGCCATGTTCTACAGGGTTCATTACCCACCCCT